AAATAAACTGCACTTGTGTTCTTCACTACGCTCGCCTTCAGTGGACCAATTCGTTACAGGTACACATAAAAATCCATGATGTGTGTTATTTTCACTAAAATTAAGTTAACAGGTCTCATCTTCATTAAAGAAATATTCATAAAATAATTTTAAAACAAGTATTCATGTCACTAATCCTTTTTTTTTTCCTACACAAATCTTCCTTTAAAGGTATGACAAGGCAAGTTTCATACAAAAAGTGTCAAATGAAATGTCTGCTTTTATAAATACAATGAAAAATAAGACAAAAACAACTGGACTAGAATGTGTGTTATGACCCAGAAGGCCCTATTTTTTTATTGTGCATCCCTTCTTTCTCTTTATCTCCAGGACTGAGATTCAGCAGAGCTTTTAGCACTCCTAAACTACAGGCAGTGGTGCACAAGAAACTGACTGTGAGAAAGATACTGTAGACTTGCAGTGGGATTTGTGGAAAACTGAAAATTGCATATGCTCCAAAAGACCAGGGGCCATATGTATAAAGCCGCTCAGAGTAAAATTTTAGTCCTAAGGGTGTCAATATTCTAAGAATGACGTAATTTTACTCTTATTCCTAGACTTAAGAATAAGAGTGATTCATAAAGGTTCCTAAGTGTTAAGACTAGGTCTCAGCTCCTAAATTATTTAAGAGCGCTGAAGAGGTATCCTAGCCTAGTTAGGAGTAACAAGATGGCAGCAAACAGGAGGAGACACACACTTTCCAATGACGATATGACGCATTGGAGTTATATGATGATATGGAGTTGATAAAACGATACAAACTTGATCATCAAGATAGTCAATTCTTTCTGTAACTGACCAAGTAAGAAATTTAATAACTTCTTCCACTCTACAAATCAATGCTCTAGCTGCAGAAATGAAAGTAGCAATTCCATTTTTTGGCTGGAAAAATGCAGCAATGCACTGGTGAGGACACAGTAAGCAGAGTCTTAACTATTGTGGCACTAACCTCACAAAACACAACAGTGGCCAAAAGTGATGTGTGGAGTTTTTAATTTTTTTATGACCCTACATTTCGATTAAACCATCAAAATATGAGGGGAAAAAACATTGACCAGTGCTGTCAAATGCTTTCAATTAAAAGTAAAACATCTGCTAAATGTTGCTAGATTACGTCATAATGGCGAGTTCACTAAACTATATAAATATAAATATAGATCAGTGGGAAAGTCTTTGAATCTAGATAAGGTTTGTCCAAGAAATAGATTTTGCTAGGCTTTTGAAAAACTCTCAAAAGGGGTGAGGAAGTCACTAAATTGGCAACACTGACATTGACTACAACATAATCAGTTGTTAATATTTCGTTGGTCCTGTCTTGTTTTTGCATGTGTTCATAATTTCTTTGTATGACAGCATTGCCAAAAATTATGACCGCGTTGGCATGTTTCATTGCATTATTATCACAAATTTAACAATTGAATCTAAGCAACTATGCAATATGCTTGCTTACAAAATCTTTAACATTTTATTTTTTATTTTTTAAATTAAGGGTGAAGATGTCAAATTTCCTAGGCCAGCATCACTTTTGGCCACTACTATATGGCAGCTCTTTGACTTTCCAACTGCCTGTCAAACCATGCTGCAAAAACAAGCCACTTTCATGAGGATTGTGGGCTTTCCTGGAGTTGTTGGAGCTGTTGATGGAACTCATGTTCACATCAGTGCTACCATTGCAAACAAGGAGACATACTAGAAAACAATTTCAAAGCATCAGTAACAATTTGTGATAATTTTGCACAATGCAAAGTATTTTTTTAAATAAATGTAAATATTAAAATATTTCAGTGTCTTAAATAAATTATTTTATTGTATTGTAATTAAATGATTAGTGTTGTGCTGCTGTGACTTCACATGAGATCGAGGGCAGCCATTTTGGGTTGACATCATTTTAGTCCTTAGTTTGCAACACTAAAGTGTCACCTCAGTCAACACTTAAGAATCAGTCTTAGACTTTACTAAAAGTTGCTTTTAGCTTCTTTAGAAAAGTCATATACTCTTAGAAAAGTCCTACTTGTAACTAAGAATTTTTTGACACTTAAGTCAAAGCTTAAGACTATTCTTAAGAGCATTTCTGAGAAGTTTTATACATACGGGCCCAGGTCACCAACCAGGCCATCGCAACACACAATCATCTGAGCCTCAGAGTGCTGAACTTGTGGAAAACCACAGGATAGATGACAGCAACAAGGCGCTCCAGACAAATCAAGCAGTTCATTAAGGGCCGTCCAATTAGGTATTTCCCAAGCAAGAACACAGCCATGTACATGGTCCAAGAAATGTCAAAAACAAGTAAAATGATACACATGAAAAAGCCTAAGAATGAGATAATTTCCATTACAGACAAGACAACTGTAAAGACGTCAGTAGCTGGAATGCCCTTCCATTTAGTCAGCTCTTTGAACCACATGAAACAATCCAGAAATGTAAAGGCCAAAAAGAAAATTAAGTCTAGAAGCAAAGAGCTCAACGCTATGACAATCCCTGGGTAAGAGTCAAAACATTCATAGGTGTGGGACATTTGGTTGACAGATATAGTGGTGTTCATGTTTCCATCCAAACTGCTTTTGCTGAAGTCAAAAAAAAAAAGAAGATGAATCATGTTTTTAAAAGAACAAACAATTTCTCACTTTTCAAATTAAACAAATGTTTTTACGATTAAAGCAATAGATTGAAAAGCAGGGCTCACAATAATAATATTTATGATTAATTACTTTCCAACTTGGATGACATGGTGTAAACAGTACAATAACACATCAAAGGTGGCCCACTAACCTGGTCGAGTGTTTAAAGAAGACTTGAGATTATATTTCTTGCATTCCTCACACTGACAAGGTTTGTGCCAACCTGGTCAACAATGTTTCTGAGGCACCTATGAGATCTGATTAAAGTTTTATGCCTGAAACGATCATATTCAAATGCTACTGGAACTGAACGCCCACCTGTGCTATTATAGTCAGCTTAGAGATTTCAGAGGGACTGCTATGTAATCGAACCAAATTCTTATTACTCATGTTTTAGACTTATTCTAAAACATAATTGGACTCAAAGTGAAATAAAATTATATTAATTGAATTCATGTCTTTATAACATACGTTATAAAAGATCAGGGTCAGGAGCGTGTTCATGATTTTATAATTAGAGTGGCAAAGGGGGGCAAGAGCAGAATGAGGGGTGGCAACTAGGTTTGCCACATAAAATCAGTACACAGACAGCAAACATTTCTTGTGATTTCTGTTAATTGTGTAAATGAATAATTCCTTTTTAAGTTTAAGTTTAATATTAGTACAATTTAACATATAGAACCAAAATATGTATTAGTTGCATTTTCAGGATTAACAGCATTAATGAGTTTGAGCAGCTGCAGTTCAGGAGAAAGTCTGTTGAAAAGCATTATATAGCTCAATCAGTAAAGCAAGGTGCTAGAAATACAAGGATCATGGGTTCAGTCTCAGGTAATGCACGAACATGACTGAAAATGTAGGCTATTTTATGTATGCAAGTTGCTTTGGTTAAAAGTATATTTAAACATAAGAGCCCTTAAGCAGGAATCTTCTCCTTGATGGACTTATAGGTCAATTTCAGGCAGAGCTCTCAGGTCAGTCCAAAAGCATTAAGGGAGGTGACAATAATAGTGTCTCCTCTCAGAGCCTATCCTTCCGCAGTTTTATTATGTGTATTATTATGTTTTATATTTAGTGCAAACACTTTAGGTGTCAAAAGTGTTGTCATGCACCAGTGTGCCACCCAAACTTTGGGTATATGTATATCTATTAAGAATCAGAGCATCTTATCAGTCTAATGTGCTCTTTTAGTTTAAGAGCTTCACTGTTTTTCCTGCACCTGCTGAAGACATTTTTCCACACTCTCTAAAGTTGTGATCACATTAGTGACATTTTAGTGAAATATTGCATACAAAACAAGGTCCATTGTCTGTTGTCAATCGTCGCTTTCAAAGCAAGCAGCTTTCTGTTGTGAGCAACTTGAATAGGAGTAAGATCTTGACGGGGAATTTTTTCTCCCTCATGAGAAACTCCTGTTCGCACTGATGCCTAATGGAGTGACTGGAATTTGCTCATGAAAATTCGCCAAGCAATGGTTAAAGAGACCGCAACTTTATGCCTTCTTTGGTCGCTGATATTCTTTCTGCTTTTTATACACTTGATGTTGCTGATAAGTTTGGAACTGCCACATCTATCACCACCTGCATTTTATGCTTCTTGTACATGATCACAATTTTGTGCTCGATGCTTGTTGTCCCAGTCTAAATACATATTTGCTGTAATTTCATGCATTTCACCCTAAACTTATATCTAACCTGCAGTCCATCTCCAGTTTTGTGGATTTTAGTCTGTGTCTGTTGGTTTTCAAGCTGCCAATATGCATGTGTTCACAAAATAAACTTCCCAGGTAGCCAGCGCAATCGGGCCAATTGCGGGCTGAGTGTCGGCTTACTCGGCTGAGTTCTAGCAGCGGCTCACCAAAAGTGAGCCAGCTCTGGCCCAGTAATGATTGCCAGATTTGGCTAGGCTTTGGATATGCAGATTTGGCCCGATTTGCACTGAGACACACGGCACATTTAGCCACATTCGGCCCGATTACGGACCATAAGGGCTGGTCTGATTTTGGCTGAGATATAGCCTTGCAGACCCGGACCAGTTTATGTTGAGTGCTGGGGGTGGGTCTCTGTTTACAATGTGGTAAATAGTATGTAGCAGTGACACTTAAAGTTAAACATAATATCTTTTTACCTGCCCATGTTTTTTCTTAGTGTATTTTTTTTATTTTAATTCCTATTAATATTTTTTTCTTTTATCCAACATTCTCTTTTTTTCTTTAATTACATTTGAAAATTAATGATTTAATTAATATAAGGAAACCAGCTTAAAGTGGTTAAGGGAACTTTAACATTATTTTTGCTATAAGAGTTTCAAGAGACATGCGCACTAGCTTTGACATCTAATGACAAAACCTGACAGGCTTTTTGTGCTGCTAATTGCCAGAAGAACTTGCTACCCTGGTGAGTAAACATTTGATTCTCTAACATATAATATCATTTTAATAAACCGTTCTACACATATAATATCAAAATAATGTTTATTTATAATGAAGCTATAATTGTGAGTTCGCTGACATAGTGCTAGAGTTTAGCTCCAACCATAATCAAGCACACCTGATCCAGCTAATCAAGGTCTTCAGGATTACTAGAAACTTCCAAACTGTGCAGAGCTGTGGCCCTCCAGGAATTGAGTTTGACACCACTGTATTGCTGCTGGTCTTTTTTTTTTTTTTTTTTCAATCAGTGTGAAGAAATGCAAGTACTGGCAGTGCATCAGATGGAGAGATTGAAAAGTTAATCAAAGATGGCTGCTGCTCACTTTGGACAGAGATGGGGGAAGAAAAGAGCAAGCCAGAATGCAAACAAATTCTTCCAATGGTATGTTCCAAATGTTAACATTTACCAGAGTTACCATTCATGTTATCAGTCTGAGATTGTCCGAATAATCATACGTGTCATTGTCTCTTTCCCTTTTTGTCTCTCTTTCTGTCAGTCTGTCCCTCTTTTAGGATACGCTTACATGAGGAAGCTCCTGGATTTTTTTTTTCCACAAATAAATTCTAATATCACTCATATTTTGATTGTCATTTTTATACTGAGGGGGGGGGGTGTTATGGGGTAGTAGGTGGGGATGCCATGAAAATAATGTAAGGCAAAATCTTAATCATTGTAAAGGTGACATTTAGTTGACATAAGTACATGCAGGCTTAAAAAGGTAACTGTAAAATCTATATTTTATTTTAGTTGAAAGATGCCATCTTAAGGATTTTAAGGTAACAATGTCATTTTGTGGAAAAACGAATTATTCAAAGCTCGTATTATATCAGAACTGGAAGGAGTCTTTAATACACATATTTTAAAAGTTGTAGTTCTGTATGAGTGTGTGTATATGTATGTGTGTGTGTGTGTGTGTGTGTGTGTGTGTATATATATATATATATGTATGTATATATTTTATACTTTTTTTTTTATTTATTTTTTTTAGCGAACAAGACTAGTACCGGCTAGGTGTCATCATGATTGTAACCCAGTGTCGGCTCAGTTTCAGTACCCAGTGTCGGACCAGTGCCGGCTAAGTGTACCATTTTGGTTGGTGTGATTGTGGCCCAGTGCCGGTAGTGTTGGCTCAGTTTCAGTACCCAGACTCGGGCCAGTACTGGTTAAGTTTTTAATTTCTCGTTGGTGTGATTGTGGCCCAATGCCGGTGGTGTTGACTCCGTTTCAGTACCCAGACTCTGGCCAGTACTGGCTAATTGCTTCAATTCTTGTCGGCGTGATTGTGGCCCAATGCCAGCAGTTTTGGCAGCCGGACTCGGGCCAGTGTATTTGAGCCGATTCTGGGGCGTCATTCATCCCATGTCCATGCCGAGTCTGGCAACCGCAGCCGGGCCGAGTTATTTCTTCCAGCCTGCTGGATCTGGGCCATTATTGGGCCAAACTGTTTTGGCGACCTGGGTTTTAGCAAATATACACATTTAGAAAATATAAAATGTGTAAATTTGTAATTCTCATTAGAATTATCAGGCTTGATCTAATTCAAAATCTAAATTTAAATAATAAACAGAGCAGTTCCAAGAGGGTCCTCGCACCATCGGTGCTCGGCCTCTAAAAAGGACATGCCCTTTTAATATATCCCACCTCATCTTGTTTCAATAGGAAATGAACACACAAAAAACTGGGCTCATATGTTTAACAGCACTTTCAGTTGTTCTGTCAACTATTTATGGAGGGGGCAGAGGTACAGTTGAACCTGTCCACTCACACGGGACACAATTATTAGGATATTCTATCTCTTGAGCCTCCAGTGACAGCTGAGTTTGAGTGGAGGATAAGGTTGCATTCCAGATCTGATTTAGAGAATTCATTGAGGCTTCAACACAGTTGACTGGGCATAAATCCAAATTTATTGTACAATTACAAAACTTATACAATGATTTGTCATATTTGAAAATGAGCAAGATGAGCTCATCCACCCATCCAGAAGGCCTATCAAACTTCAAAGCTTTTTTTCAGTCTTTTCAAACAAAGTCTTGTAATTCAAGGGCAATCTAAATTTAATTCTGAATGGTGAACAATCCTTGACTATAATTCCAGACCTTAAATGTTGGACGGACGTTACAAAGGACAGGTGACGTGATCTTGAGGCCTTGCAAGGAAATGGAGTGCTGCTAATCTTACTAATTGGATATTTTAATTAAATAGCTAAAATGACTCAGATGACAGGTCTTGTTAACATATCTAATTAAAATGTCAATTTGCAAGAGATTGAGCCAACACATGGGGTCAGCAGTTAGCTATGAGAGCAAGAGAGAGATAAAAAAAGAGCGAGAGGAATGGGGGTATAGGATAGAAGGAAGGAATGTCTCTTTAAATTACCCTTTGCTACCAAGCATGGAGAGAGGAAAATACCATATCTTTCTCTCTCTCTCTGGCTCTAGATCGCCCTTCTCTCCCCTCCCTACAGACGTCCGGCATGTGACGCTTTGGCCCAGCTACACCAACTCACTGATACGGGAGGCAGAAGCCGTGTGGCTTGAAATCCAAGGACACTCTTTGCAATCCCACCTTGTTTTGAGACTTTACATTTTTTAAAGGAGTATTTGCAGCATATGAAAGTGTGTCATTTTTGTCAACAAGGCAATGCCAGCTTGATTTTATCAAATCATTTGTTGAAGAAAGAAAATTTTCTTCAATGTACTTCAAATGAAGATCTTCTAACTACAGAGCTCTGGGAACATCTATTGGACGTAGTCATTATTTTGGGACTTTCAGCGCTTATTTATTACCCATTCACCAGGTCATTTTATGTAGCAACCCATAGACAATACCCTGTTTGCACCACCAGGTAAGGATCAGCAACCAATCAATCATCCTAAGACTATCCACAACAACCAGCATCCCATCATGTGTTGATTTCTCATCAATTAGACACTTTTTCATCCTTCTGAAAGCATTTCATTCTCTGTATTCCCGTGGGTTGGTTTATTTGTGGATTTTAAGGTCTCTTTGGGTCCCAGAGCAGGTGTGAGTGCTACAGGAGCACATTTGCCCTCCATTCAGCTTTTCTGGTGCGGAAGTATGATAAAGAACAATAAGAAACTAAATTCCCAAGATGGCTCAACAAATGCTATCACAAGTAACAATGTCAACAAACAGGCCAATAGCCTGGCTCTCTTCTCCCAACCAAATGCCCCAAATAGGTAAGTGGAGACTTGTTTTAAAACCAACCTATTATACTGATTTTAGATTAGTTGTGATTTACTTCATGGTAGGAGCTGATCCAGATTCAGCGTTTAAGCATTGCTTGTATCTGAAAATGTGTAGCTTGAAACGTTGGCTCTGAAACAAAGACAGACAAGAAATGCTATTTGTGTTTGTCTCCCCTTGTATGCTGTTTAATTCGCTAAACTGTCTGGATGTGAGATTTGTTGCGTTTTGTGTCCTGCTCATGTGCCTGTTTTTGGTTGTCTTATCCTAAACCTTATGTTGACGATGAATCAATTGACTTTCCAGAAGTACAAGGTAGAAGAATAACTTTTCAAATGGGTTTCAGTGATTATTTCCCCACACTGCAAAAAACATTACTTCTAAAAATCTTTAAAGCAAGATAAATGTATTCAAGATATTATTGAGGCTTGTTTTCAGAGAATGTATCTTTAACATGATTTTCACTTGCTTTTGTAATTATAAAAAGTTCAAGTTTTTTTCCCCCCAGTGCAATAGGACAAAAAGTACTTCTGTTCAAGATACAGTCTATGAAAACAAGTCAATGTTTTATGGTGTTGCACAGTTACATGTAACTTGTTTTAATGATTTTTACATATTTTAACTGAAAAACAAGGCAAAAATACTCATTAAAAATATGATTTTCTGCTGTGTAGTTCTGCTATGAAATGAATTAGCATTCATTTGAATTTGATTTGCGAAGTTTTTAAAGATTTTTTTGGCAATGTCAAGTCCCCCCCCAGTGCAATAGGACAAAAAGTACTTCTGTTCAAGATACAGTCTATGAAAACAAGTCAATGTTTTATGGTGTTGCACAGTTACATGTAACTTGTTTTAATGATTTTTACATATTTTAACTGAAAAACAAGGCAAAAATACTCATTAAATATGATTTTCTGCTGTGTAGTTCTGCTATGAAATGAATTAGCATTCATTTGAATTTGATTTGCGAAGTTTTTAAAGATTTTTTTGGCAATGTCAAGTCAAATCAAATTTGCTGGTGAAGGCATCTGTAATCTAGTCATGTCTGGTTTCATTCCTTTCGTGTGAGTCATTATCCCCTGATAGCAATAGTCTAATTATATAATCCATGTTGTATTTATTTATAATGGTCCTTAGACCAACTAGCATGAAAAACAAGAAGCTCAAGGGGTTGGTTTTCGGCTGCCTGCAGGGACCAGCACCTGTTGTGTCTGCAGTTTATTATGCAAAGGAATGTCATTATCATGTAAAAAATTATATCCCAACATGAGGTTAGACAAGCCTGTAATATAATACCAAAGTCAGCCTGGTAATTGTTTGAATATATCTGAAATACAGTGTAGAAACTGTTACCTTAAGGATGATGAGAAAGATAAGAGTTTTCTTTTTTTAAATAAATTCATATTTTGGCATGAAATTGGAAACATATTTAAGAAACCCCATCTCTGTTCTTGCAAGCTTCATAGCTTTACATTTGGGGCCTAGAATCATTCTCTAGATCACATGACTAGAGGATACTGTTGCTTACTTCATGTCATATTCCTCTCGTCACTCAGCCCAGATTAACACTGGTTCAGATAACATTACACATACAGGATCTCCCACATTAAACTAAATGAAAGACACAGTCTAAACAAAACAAGAACCAACATCAATCTTTAAATAAATCTAGGTACTTTACATTTAATTCAAAGCAGTGTTTGCTATAGGACTACTTAAAAAGTACCATGATTATGGACTGATTGTTGCTTTGGTATGTTCCCCTCCATCCCCGGCTGAACTGGTTGATGTAACCCACTAATTTTGTGGATGAAAGGATTTTGTTGTTCTCTCTCCAATTCACATCCTTTTCTCCTCCCTTATTCTTCACGCTAACAATGGATCGTCCTCTGCTGTCTCGGGCAGTGACCATAAGTGCATTGCTCTAACACCAACTAACTCTGATCCTCTATGAGCAAATAAGGCTAACAAGGCTAAAATTAAATTACCAAAACAGATCATTTTCAGTTTCGCCTTAATTGTGTTTTTGACATTGTCTGTTGTTAGAGGAAAGGAATATTAAGGATTTTATACAAATTCACTCTACTGACAGCATTTGTGGTGTTAAGTTGTATATGTTCTAAATGTATAAATATCTAAACATATTATACATTTATATAAAATGATTATATGACTAAATAAACAAATAGCATTTACACATATGGAGGGACAATGCAATACATAAAAAATAGACAGCTACAAGACAAACATGTGTTTGAGCATGATATAACTACATGAACAGGAATGTTGAAATGTGAACGACTCCATCCACAATCATATCATTAATGAATAACCAGCTCATCTTTGAGTTGGGCTTTTGACATTGACATTTGCACATAATGGTTGTGTGGGACTGTGGCGAGACTGTCTGGAGAAGCCCACAGTGTGTCCTCTGTGGTATTCTTGTAAATTCCAGCACCTCCATTACGCTCAGACTGATATGCCATTTCCATCCCAACACAGCTCAACTTTCATTTGTCATTTATTTGTTTTATTTTGAGCATTGTATTGATGAGCATTGTCCTCATCATCATCATCATTGCAGAAATATCATTGTTAACCTCAACATTGTTAATCATTAATATCCCTCTCAGTGTCATTGTGATCATCAAAAACGGCATTTTCATTATACTCGTCTTTAAATTCCAAACAAACAAATTTGGAATTTAAAGAAAATCGTGACACATTCACAAAGCACATGAGGCAAAGAACACAATGTATTTCTGCTGTCTGTATATATTACATTACCACAATGTGCTGCTTACTCCAAATAGACCCTTGAGCTGAAGGGCCAGCCATGTCAAGCAGCTGAATGCAAACTCAATGAAGCAGCTACAACGCATGATTGCACTCGTAAATTCAGCACACGGCAAAGGGTTATGACTTAAAAGATGGTGAGCTAAACCATGCTGAATGATGACCTTCACTGCATCAGTCAGCTGCTAGCTGACTATCAGTTTAATGATGAAATGTAAGCGAAGGTATCTTCTAAAAACAATTACGTGAACTTTTGTATTATAGAAGGTGACAATCTGCTGGCGCTTCCCTGACATCTGATCGAGTCCAGTGATATGGCCTGGAACATAAAGCTGTAATGATGAACCCACGGCTTGATGAAACTCAGTCTGAAACAGATTTATGACGCTGATTTGTTTGTTCTGGAAGTAGTCACAGCCACAGGCTTATGCCATCGATTGAACATTGGCAAAATAAATACCAGGAGATTATGGTTTCTTTTGCCCCTCCTCTACATTTGCTTAATTTCTTTGTATAATTCAAAATGGCATAAAATTGTCCAAATTACCCTATTGTGAACTAAATGGCCAAATCTGTGGACCTCACACATACAGTAAACTCAGACCTGTGTAGTGTCCAAAAACAATGCAAGCTTTTAAAACTGAAGATTTATGAGGCAGAAAAGCAGACTAATTGTGTAATCTGAATTAGGTCTCAAAGCAACACTGGCTTTCATCAGGCTGCTAAAAAAGACTATTTGAAGTGATTGCCATTTACAAACAAGATAAATCTTAATATCTATTTTAAAGCCAGTAAAATAGCAATTAAAATAATTTGTATACTACCGGTCAAAAGTTTGGAAAAATTAAGATATATAATGTTATTAAAAAGTATTTTATGGTCACCAAGGCTGCATTTATTTGATCACCAATACAGTAAGACATTTAAAAGAACTGTTCTAATTATATATTTGAAAAAAAAATTTCCCTGTGATGGCAAAGCGGAATTGTCAGCAGTCAAGACTACTGTCTTCAGTGTCACATGATCTGTCAGAAATTCTTAATCATTCCAAAATTTGACCTGTAGCGTGTTTCTATTGCTGTGTAATATTGCTTAGAATTCTGGAGGTTACCTGTAAGGAAACTCAGCTGACATGAAGTCAAACCAAAGATAAATACAGGAATGAAAGTCTGACCAGACTATTCTGAACACCTTGGCAAGATTTATTGGCTGAATTAGACGTGTTAATCGTTGTCTCGTGGCACTAGCTGTTATCAGAAACTGAATACTAGAAAAACTTTTCACCTTTCACACTGGACAGAGTGACATTACCTTGTCACAAGTAACAACAAGCTTGGAAAAAAGTAACATTTTATCATACTAAAAATGAATTCACATACAGTATATACATCTATATAGAATCTGTGAATATGTTCTTAGCACATGCTGGCATGACCTTGACTATTGGCCTTGGTTTAGTTTTAATGCCATAAGGACCATAGATAGGCAGTAGTGGATATCTATATCTGGGCCCCTTAACAAGATTTATGGGTTCCTCTTTCAGAAGGTTATATATGTTTTTGGATATGTTTTATGGGCATGCCTGGTCTACAGTGATTGTGTGTGTGTGCATTGTCAAGAGCTTGTGGCCCTAACAGTACCACAACTAGAAGTACACATGTTGTCTTCTAGTACAGGCATAAAAATGGATATACAAGATGTACAAAGAATGTAACATTTTTATTAGTAATGCAGCACTGGCCCAAAAGGGTGAATGACAGTTCCATTAACTGTCCAGAAACTCTTGAACCCTGTGTAAGGTAATTCAAAGAAGCTATGCTGATTTTAAGGGTGTCAAACCTCAAGTGCAAATACAGGGTGTTCACAGCTTATCTATTGGACAATGTCTTGCTTACTTACAGCAACTTTATATTGCTTTGACTATTGTTAAAACGATTAACCTATAAAATATGAAATTATATATTATTCAAGTCAAAAATAGTTTTTTTTTTTCTTGAGAGATTTTATACAAACCATCATAGTTTAAAAATTGTAGTTTTACCAAACACATGAACCCGGAACATAGGGGAACAGGCTTTGGAAGAAAAGGAGTTAGATGAGGACAGCTGAAATGAGGAGCAAGCTGTTTTCAGTTACAGCAGAAAAGATGGTGAACATATCTGAGGACACTGTTACCACAAAACGCCTTGCCAGCACA